GGGAAGATCTCACTGAACTTGGTTATCATCTCACTGAATTACCAGTAGAGCCACACCTTGGTAAAATGGTGTTGTGTGCTGTTGTTTTGAAGTGCCTGGATCCTATTCTTACTATTGCTTGCACTCTTGCATATCGAGACCCTTTTGTCCTACCTACACTGGCCTCTCAAAAGCGTGCAGCCATGCTGTGCAGAAAACGTTTTACTGCAGGAACTTTTAGTGACCATATGGCGCTTCTCAGGGCTTTCCAGGTATTATTTCATCTTCAGAAAGAGTACTAATGGCAACAGATCACATATCAAAGTAAATGATGTACCAATCAAGTTGGATGTAGAATGATTGACTATGATTAAGTCCTTAGAGAAGAAACTTTATTTTTGCCTAGTGTCTTTCCTGTGTATTGGACTCATAAATTTCTGAGGGAACACTTCTTGTCAGATTTTTTGTTTATCTTTTCAAACCTGGTTAAATTCTGAATGGTCCAACAAGGTGCCACTTTATAAGGATACACTGATAACTTAAAATAATTATCTTAACATAATGATCTTTATAATAACTTAATACAATGATCTTATAATAACTTAACATAACGGTCATTATATTAATTTAGGGAATGGATAAAGAGAATCTAGTATTTAACCAGAAAAAAAAATCTGATTTGATACATTTCCTTTCTTTCAGAATGGTTTTTGCCTTTGTTTTATTGATGTAAATGTCATTTTTTTTAAAAAAGTGCATTTTTTAATTTTAGCTAATCAAATTAATAGGCAAATGTGAAAAATACTCTTTACAGGCATGGCAGAAGGCGCGCAGTGATGGCTGGGAGAGACCCTTCTGTGAAAGGTACTTCCTGTCTCAAGCCACGATGGAAATCATCGTAGGAATGAGAACACAGTTGCTTGGCCAGCTTAGAGCCTCGGGTAAATAGCTTAGAAAAAATTTTGACATAGTTTTGGAGTCAAGTGTATACCTAGTACAAGTGTATACAAATTGTAACAAGAATAGTGTTCACTGGTGTCATTTTCCTTCCCCTTCTGTGAAAGGAACTTCCTGTCTCAAGCCACGATGGAAATCATCGTAGGAATGAGAACACAGTTGCTTGGCCAGCTTAGAGCCTCGGGTAAATAGCTTAGAAAAAATTTTGACATAGTTTTGGAGTCAAGTGTATACCTAGTACAAGTGTATACAAATTGTAACAAGAATAGTGTTCACTGGTGTCATTTTCCTTCCTTAATTTGAAACAGACCAGTACACATTCATGCTGGGCATGGTGCAGATGCTAGAGTGAGGAAGTGTGGCTGGGGAACAGCTGATCTAACTGAAAGTGCCCTGATTGTTCCACATGCCACTGGCTTTCAGTGTGAGATAGGTTTCCTTGGATTTTTACGTTCTAGTAGATTATTTCCATAGCAAATGTCTTTGTGTTGTAAAAAGTAATTCTATTCTATGTTAGTATAAAACCCCTTATCAGGAAGGATTTCAGTATAATGTTTTTTTCTTGGTGCTGTTAAGGTTGGCAGCAGTGAAAAATGCAACAAATTTGTAGTTTATTTCACTTTTTTTTTCTTCAAATTCCTTTTGAGAAGCAAAAAAGTAGATCCTAAATACAAGCGAATATAACACGTTTTTGTCCTCTTCTTTCTTCAGGTTTTGTTAGAGCCAGAGGAGGAGCCGATATTAGAGATGTTAATACTAACTCTGAAAACTGGGCTGTAGTTAAAGCGGCCTTAGTGGCTGGGATGTATCCCAATCTAGTGCATGTAGACAGAGAAAGCCTGGTTTTGACTGGACCAAAGGAGAAGAAAGTGCGATTTCATCCTACCTCTGTTCTTAGTCAACCTCAGTATAAAAAGGTAAAACCACTTTGAATTTATAGTTCACAAAAAAGAGCACTATACTCTATCAAAGATTTTAGAAATGTCTCTTCATAGTTCTCAGTACTTTAAAAGCAGCATGTGCATTGAACACTACATTTTTAGAAAATATTTTTCCTGGGAGTTGATAAAAATAAAGACTAGAAGTTTGTTTGTTTTTCCAATATTATTTAATCAAAACTTAGTTCAGTTAGTGCTTCTTCTAGATGGAATGAGACAAAATGGTAAAAAAAACCCCTAGTTATGAAACTGTTTTAAAGATGTAACAATCCCTGCTCATAATAGGAGGAAGAAGTTCTGCTCTGAAACTGATATTTTTTTAGATCCTTTTTTAAAGCGAAATATTCTGGTTCAAGGCGGTAAGACAATTTGTGAGTCTGGTTGAATTATCTCTTGCTTTTTTATTTGTGTGTATAAGTTTATGTATTTATTTCTACATATATAAAATAAGGAATATGTTAAAATTCATTTTAATTACAAATAACAGGGTAAAATAGCCTAGTCTTATTTGCTCTTGCACAGATTCCCCCAGCAAATGGGCAAGCTGCAGCCATTCAGGCGCTCCCTACAGACTGGCTTATATATGATGACATGACGAGAGCTCACAGGATAGCAAATATCAGATGCTGTTCTGTTGTAACACCTGTCACTGTGTCACTCTTCTGTGGACCAGCTAGATTACCGAGTAATGCTTTGCAGGAACCTTCCTCCTTTCGAGGTATAGTGGGGTTTGGATTTGGAATGTTTCCATTGGTATATACTAGTATGTGATACGGAAGGCTTATTTTTCAAGAATATTTAATACTTATATTGGCTAATTCTTAAAATGACAGAGCTATAGTTCCTGTAGCTGTTCAAGAATAGTTTATAGACTCTGTAATAAATGTCTCGGTTTTGTGAATCCTTGTAGATTCATATCCATAAATCACACTTACGTAGTTCTGAAGTCTCAGAAATTACAATGTAGCTTGTAATGAAATAAAAAATGCAAAAAAAAAGTCTAATGACAATACTAATGCTGAAAAGTGTAGTATGTATGTTTTTTGTACAGACTAGTTTATTTGATACTTTGAACCAGATTATTCAAACTGAATAATAATTTAGAAACTGTCAGTATGCCAAATACACGTATTGCTTCCAGCTGAAAGATGTGTTTTAAAGATTATTTTCTACTGATAACTTTTAACGACAATTAGCTCTACTATTAATTAGAAGTAACAGAGAATATATAGAAATTTTCTTTTTTTTTTATAAAAATGGAGTGCTGTAGGAGTAGAAGCAAAAATAGTCCATCCTGCTGCCAGTTCTCTAGAAATAGTAGTTTGAATCAAAGTAAGAGTCCAAGTTATTTTTGAAGCTTTCCTGTCTTGCTCTTAAACTGTTACCCTTAAAACAGTGTTTATACTGACTGCATTGCACTTTAAAAAACAAAAATAGAATCTTACTTAATAGCCATATGTATATATTATTTATTTTTTTCATAATGGGTCTTACAATCTGCTGTTTTACTAGGAAATAAAGCATAGAGCAAGGTGTGGTTTTGCAGATAGCGTCGGGCAAAAGTTTGGTAATGGCTTGTTAATGTTGATGAAGGTACATGAGTGAGTCAGATCACATCAATACAGGTGCTTATGTAGCAGGGTCCTCAGCAGGTCTGGATAGTTGAGTTCCGCTAACTAAAGCAAAGACTTTTCACTGAGATGTATTTGCAGAAAATAAAAAGTGGTTTTACAAATGTTTACATTTTAAAATAAAATTTAGAAGGAAAATGAGTTTATTGCTGGTAATACAGTAGTGTTCAGTTTTTTGTATGTAAGTGGAAATTATATAGAAATGTTAATGCACCTTTTATATTTAATTCAGGGGATGGGGTATCTAATGATAACAGTGATAGTGAGATGGAGGACAAAACAACTGCTAATTTGGCATTTCTGAAGCTAGATGAATGGCTCCATCTCAAACTGGACCCTGAAGTAAGTAATGTATCACTTCAGTGCTTGTTTCTTGTAGAAGGATATTTGTGTTGTATCTTCCTAAAAAGATTTCTGAAACATTTGAGTAACAAATAATTTTCTGTAAGAATGGCTGTTGTGGTCCGTTTGGCTCTCTCAAATTTACAGGACAATGTAGTCTTATTTAACCTTTATTTCATGAGCTCATTTAGAAATACAACAGACAAACGGGCTCAATCCCCTTTTGCCCAGACTAGCCTCTCATGTGAATTCACTTATTCACCATTCAAGTCGTAAGGTTTCATAAGTTACAACCTGTAACTCTCAATTCGTGCACCTATGAGCAAAAAGAGAAAAAGGATTAGTTCCGTAGCCGACGGTGAGAGTGCTCATGTTTCTTCCTCCGTCACGGTGCAGGTGTCCCCTGTATTACACCAGGAAGCAGCAAAGCCTCAGCAGTCCAGCTGCTGTTGGATCTGCTTCAAAAGCTTTTTGGGTAAGCTGTGTTTTATACCTTCCAGCTTGGAGGTTTGGTCCATTTCCGTAAGTTAGCAGATTGTGATGAAACTACCAGACAAAAGATAATGGCTGCAGGAGACAGCAAACTGCAGGTGATAGTGGCTGCATAATGGCCCTTCATCTCTTTCTATTCCCCTCTCCTGCCTGTGTGTTGCTCTTGCTCTGACCTAATGACACTGCTGCCAGCACACATCAAGCCGTAGCATGAGCTGGGTTAGCCAAAACCTGAGCAGGAGTTGAGTGAGCAGTCACAATGGCATATTATGTATTTCCTTCTCTGAAAGGATGACTAAAGTTGGATCAAAATGAAGCATTTGAAGTTGGAGTTGCTGAAAGAAGGTTGCTGTCCAATTTTAGAAAAAGGGGAAAAAAATCCCTTTTGAAGATAGAAGTCTTCATGTCATTGAGAAGCTCTGGCTGTGGTAGAGTAGTTTATGGGTTATGAAACACTTGGACTTACCAGATCTAATAATAGTACTGTCTCTTCTAGAGATGTTCAAAAGTGTCATTTTTTTTTTTTTAAATGAAAGCATTTCTGATAACGTGGGGATTAGACTGTAGTTTTCTAAATTCAGTCATCTCATTTGAGCAGAAGCCTGCGTAAGAAAAATAATGTCACTTTGAGCTCTTTTCCCTCAGGTATGAATGAAGAGTGCGTAAATACAGACTGAATTGAGAAGAAGGGCATAAAGCATGAAAAGATGGGGTTTTTTTTAAAGATAAAATTTTAAAGTGAAAAATAAAAAATCCTGTGGGTTTACAATATAATTTTAAATCTGGTGCAGAGCTAAATGAAATAAAATGATCTTACACCTGAGGAAAGAAAAGGTAACTTAACAGCTTAGTTTAAATGTGGGGTTTTCTCCCCCTCCCCGGCACTTCAGTCTTGCCTTTCAGTTTGGACCCTGTTCATTTTAGAATGCCAGATACTGCCTGATAGGAAAGACGTAGGGTAACCTTACCTGTCTGATCTAATATTTATTAGTCTTTAACAGAATTGAAATTCATTACAGGCTGCTGGTTTGCTGTTGCAACTCAGACAGAAATGGCATAGCTTATTTCTGCGTCGTATGCGAGCTCCTTCTAAACCGTGGTCTCAAGTGGATGAAACAACTGTAAGAGCAATTGTAGCTGTTTTAAGTACTGAAGAACAGTCTGCAGGTTTGCAGCAGCCTTCAGGAATTGGTCAGAGACCAAGACCTTTGACTTCTGAAGAACTTCCTTTAGCATCTACGTGGAGGTCAACCAACAGTAGAAAAAGCTCAGCAGAAACTGAATTCTCTGATGACTCCTCTAATGCTGAAAAGTAAGCTTTTGAGATCTTCTAAAGACTGTAGGTTGTAATTTATTTGGTTATAAAAGCATCACTTGTATTTCTGCTAGTAATAAAAAGGAAGGAAGAAACAACAGAAATACAGTTGAAAGAATTGATACTGTCCTATGCTGTGTTGTAGTTGTGATTTCATTGAGAAGTATTTCATATGTGTGCCTGCTGTTTGAGAGAGCAGTCAGGAATATCGTCCTTGAATTGTGGTCTCTAGGAAGAAGTAGCAGAAGAAGTTTAACCCTAAGCACTCAAAAACAATGCATTATCAGTATTTTTTTAGTTAGTGTCTAGTATGTTTTGGAATTACTGTAATATATTTAGTCATGCAATAGACTGATATGAAGATATAAATTGTTCTGTGACTGCTTATGAAACTCTGGTGTGTCCTGTATCTACCTTTACTTTTTAGAGTTTTAATGAAATCTACGCCTCCCGCACTTCACCAGCCAAAGAAGTACAAAGAAAAAAACATTCTGCACTCCAAACGAACTTCAGATGACAGGTCAGATCAATCATCAGTGAAGTCTACAGACAGCAGTAGCTATCCTAGCCCCTGTGCTAGTCCTTCTTCTCCAATATCTGGAAAGGTAGAGTTCTCGTAAACAAATTACCCCACTCTTCAAAATGAATAGAATTTCAGAAATAAATTTGCTGATCTCTTTCAGTAACTATCAGGTATTATGTTGATAAATTAAGAACCTGACTTAGATTTTCATTTTTAACAACTGCATAGCATAATACTTACTTCTTTCTGGAACTTAAAATCTAGACTAAATATCCTTGTTACATTAGTTTAATACAGTAAAAATATTATTCTTTGCAGACTGCTGAGGTAAAGCTATTCAAAGTAGAAAAAAATCAGAATTTTTTTATAAACTTGATATAATAACCAGTGAAGGTGTATTAGTTTTTGTTCTAAATTAGTATACACGCACTTAGGAATTGTTTTGATTCTGCTTTCCTCTGTTTCTGTAATAGCATACATTGATACTGATTCTCTTTAAGTTTTGTGTTATCTGCCTTATTATGACTGCTTGCTTTTTTTATGATGGTTATTTTAACAAAGCACACATTTTTAATGAGGTTACTGGCATAATTCTTCCTATGTACTTGAATAGTAAACTGCAGTAATATTAAGCAGATCACTGAGAGGAAGATCCATTGTTCCTCTAGGCATGGACTCATTGCAGGATTTAATATTTCCTCTTAAGTCTTTCAGTTTTTAAATTTAGCTAATGTAAAAGGGAGAAAACTTATGTTTCCTGAAGGTGGAAATGTGAGTAGTGTGCTTCAGCCTACAGTCTAGAATGATTAATTTTGTGTCATCTGAAGGTATGTCAGACTTCAAATTGTAATTAATTACTACATTATTTAGGCCTGTTCTGCTATACTTGTTTGATGCTTCTCATGAATGAATTATTATTTTGGAAAGTGCTTAAAAAAATCTAAAATAGATGTGAAATGCTTTTTAAAACCAATTCAGACAGTATCAACTGGTAGAATCTGGGGGAGGAGGGTAGGAGCACAGACACGGGATTTCTGTCTTCATGTGTGTAAAACTTTAGAACTAAAGCCTGGTTTATTTTATTGTAGCTTAATTTAATTTAATTTTTCCAGGGTTCCAAATCTCCTTCACCAAGAACAAATATGCCAGTTCGGTACTTTATAATGAAAAGTAGCAACTTGCAAAACATTGATATTTCTCAGCAGAAGGGTATATGGTCTACTACACCAAGTAATGAACGAAAATTAAATAGAGCCTTTTGGGAGAGCAGCATGGTTTACTTAATCTTTTCTGTTCAAGGGTCTGGACACTTTCAGGTGAGTCCTTAGTTAATACTAAATATTAGCTTTGGTTGATGGTTTAGGAGAGTGCAGCAAATGACTATGTGTAGTATGGAGGGTTTTGTTTATGACTTCTGACATTCTAGTAAGTAGAGTAGCAAGCAAATGTATCTGGTTGCTGAGGGAAGAGTACTTCATTCTTCTCTGAAATATGCCCTTTTAGCTAACTCAGTTTGTCATTCAAAGGCCTCCAAACATCTTGAGTGAGAATAATGTTTATACCCTACATTAATCCTTTAAAACAACAACAACAAAACAAACAAACAAACAAATCCAAACAAAGCAGGGGATTGCTACTTCTCTCTCTGCATGCCAAAATAAATATTGTAAGTGAATAAGTAGTTATAATCAAGTCACAGCTTTCTAAAGCCAGGAAACTCATAGCTGTCTTTATTGCAAATTTTAATAAAATCTGTTTTGCCTGAACTGTAGTTTCTAAAAGTTAGGAAGATGGAAAGTCATGGCCATGATTCTTCCAGAGCTGTGTCTTGACTTCAGGTTTAGCAAGGTATTTGTCAACAACTTGGTGACAAATTTGTAGCCAATTTGAAGTTAGACTTGACCTGGTAGAGCAAAGTTGCATGTTAGCTGTGTTGTAGAGAAGGCTGAACTCGGTTGTTCTAGGTAAAGAAAGTACAACTTACCTCTTCATATATTCATAAAAGTCAGCTAAGCTTAAAATCTAATGAACTAGTCCAAATACAACTGTCTTGGTGATACCACTGAAGGATTACAGTGAGATACACATATGATGATTTGGCAAATGCATATGTAATATTAGAAAGTAATTTCCAGCATTACTTTCCATGATACTGAAAATGGGCTGTTGTATTTGTGGTCTTAGACGAGGAAGCTGGGAGGGGAAGTCGTGCTGAAGTCCAGAGCGTTGGTGGTTGATGTTACCTTGCCCTTCCAGTTTTGACAATGCACTGGACATTCATGGGAATGCAAGATTAACATTCCTATTAGTATTGTCTTTACTTTCCACCTTTATTTTTCCTCTGTTCCTTTTATTAATTTCCATTTAAATCTGGCTTGAGCTATCTGGGACTGCATGTCTTAAAACAGTACTGTGTAGTGCTAACTTATGCAGTGCACTGCATCTCTTGGACTCCTAAGTCATAACTGGCATAAATTTTCCTGAATAGTTGATAAGTTGGGTGTGCGGTAGGTTTGGTTTTGTTTTGTTTGGTGTGTGGCCAAGGAGGGGTGTCCTTAAATAAGTTAGAAGCAATCTTGCATTTGGGGTTTCTTTCATTTTCTTTCTGAATGCTTACCTTGTTGGAATTTCTTCCCGCTTCGTTGAGGAAGGAAATAAAAGCAACTTTGACTTCTTTCTTTGAAGAACAGCTACACTCTCTTAATTCTGTGTGAAAGTTTGTTATCGTAGGGGGAACATGGGAAGGGAGGAATGGATTTCTGCAAAAAATATCTACAACTAACAGAATAGCTAATGGACTATTATATAGTAGAACATTCATCTTGATTCCTTATGCTTCAAATGTTTTTACAGGTTTTCAACCTCTGTTACAAAGCTTAAAAAAACTTTTAATGGTAATTGTGAGAGATTAATTGAGAGACATTCTCTGTGGTCGAACTCTAGAAGGGATGTTTGAAGTGGAAAAACAAATGATACGTCTTTTAACTTTCTAGATGTAAACATTTTAAAAGATCCAGCTTCATGGGGGAGAGCGTATCAATCACTTGGAAACTAATTTGAAAGTTTTGTATGAAGTCCAGTCATTTATTTAATTCCAACGTAAGCAGATAGGCTCTAATTATGTCTTTCCTTTCATATTTCAATTTTTGCTCCAGGGTTTTGCTAGAATGGCTTCAGAGATAGGGTCTGAGAAAAGTCAAGACTGGGGATCTGCTGGTTTCGGAGGTGTATTTAAGGTGGAGTGGATCCAAAAAGAAAGCATTCCTTTTCAGTTTGCACACCATTTGCTCAACCCTTGGAATGACAATAAGAAAGTACAAATAAGCAGAGATGGCCAGGTAATGTTATTCTCTTCTAAAGTTTTCTTTATTTAATAGAACTGTGTATTGTTTATTACCTTGTTTAGCCTTAACATTTATCTCAACTGTCCTCGTATATCTGTTAATCTGAATCACAGTTCATTGATGCACATTGTACATTACTGTTGAAGTGATGGAGGCTTTTTGATAAAATCAAAGCAGTTTCTTGCTTAGTATGCATTTAAAAAAAGATGTAAAGCTGGATGCTTCCAAAAATAAAAGCTTTTTGGAATTTGTAATTTTGGTTCTGGAGATTTTTTCCCTGTGTTGTTCAAATTTGTTTCCTGAGATAGTCTGTCACACCCAAATAACTATTCATAATTATAGCTTTGAGTTTCCTGTAAAGACTGAAAAGAATCTTGAGATTGGAGGTAGAATAAAGCTTAGGACAGTTCTCCGATCTGTTAAAGCTAAATGCAGCTACAAAAAGCTGGAAGAGAATTGGCACAAGAGTTCTCTGTGGCAGTTTCTGCACTCTCCCTAGTCCCCTCCCAAAATATCTCCTTGATACGAGATTCTAGAGCTAAACTTTTTGTATCATCTTCTCACTACTTCCCCAAAACCTCTCCAGTTGTAAGAGTGAGAAAAGGAACATACTGTAAGAATGAGGAAAGGAACGTAACGTGATGGAGTTAACAGTACTTCTGTTGTAAGTGGCTCTTAAGATCTAAAGAGTCTTTAACAATCTTAAAAACAACATTATATTAATGTCTATGATTCCACCAAGAGCCGCTGTATTACCTGTGACCTGCCTTTCCACATTCTCCACCACACTTGATGGAATTAAAATTAAAAATGTGGAGAATAATGATCTTTAGTTAATAAGTAAGTGACCTGTGGGAGGTACAAAGTATAGGGTGCATATGTTCTTGTATATGGTGTGTTTGCTCAGAATTCTCCTCTTAAGAACTGACATCTTAGTGTGAAGGAAAGAAGCCCCCAACAACCCGTAGGCCAGGGTTGCTTATGAAAGTTTTTACCTTCTCTTGAGCCTTAGTGAAAAAAACTTCCTGTTCAGGGAGTTCTCATATATGTCCCAATAGCAAAAGGAAAAGCTCTTTCAGAAAGACTGAAAGCAATCACCAGTAACTTCATCTAACAATTTTGTTATGAATAGTTTCTGTATGTTCAATAGTAGCAGTACAAATAACTTCTCTGATTTCCTGCTCATTTCTAGGAGCTGGAACCACAAGTTGGAGAGCAGTTGCTACAGCTTTGGGACCGTATTCCTTTGGCGGGAAAAAACTCAACTGATTGAGCATGTCAAGTAATGTGATAGAGGTAGTTATTTCATGCATTACTTGCTGTTTTTATGATAGAGGAAAAGATATCTATATACAATGTATCATTACAGTACTGTCTTTCCTTTGTAGTTTGTGGAAGAACAGGTACACGTAGTACTAAATATTCTCTTCCTTTTGTTTTTTTTTTGTTGTTTTTTTTTTTTAGCTGTGGTTGTTGAAACATCAGCTATAACCACTAGAACCAGCAGCGTGCCTACAATATAAAGATGTGGAAGAAGGCAGCACAAGCAGCTCCTGCAGTTGGTAGTCATGCTGTGCAGCTAGCAGTGGAAAAATAAGAGGGAATTATGTTGGTTTCAGTATGTCCTTGTCTTAAGAAATGTCATAACATTATTCACCAGCCTGTTTAGACTGAATTATTTTTTTACAGTAGTGTGCAGTTGATATTTAAAAACATGGTTAAGTTCAAAACTAAGTTTGAAACAGTGGACCACATATAAGTTGTTTGTGGGTTTAAAATAGCACAGCAGACAGAATAAATATACAGTTTACATTTAAAGCTTTCTCAACACAGTAAAATGTATGAGAGAAACCAGTGTAATAGTAATTAATCAGTCTTGCAGTTTGCATAAAATAAATAAATTGAAAATAGATGTCTCCAAATGTGTTGGAAGATTCCATAAGTATTTGTTGAACTTCTATAAGCACGGTGTGAGAGAGCAGGATACATTCACATGAACAACTGGGCAGCTGGAGAATGTAAAATTTTAATTTAAATACATAAGTGAAAGGAACATGGGACTTTTGAGAGTGGATTGGTCCAGTGGTGTTTGCAGTTTCAGTTATTTTTCACCTTTTGAAGGTACTCATACTTTGGCAAACTGAAACAGTCTTTCAGAGGCCTGCTGCCAAATGGTACTCTTAATAGTTCACCAACTTGGGCATTATTAGAAGATTTTTATTTCTTTCAAAAAAAAAAAAAAATTACCAGTACAGCTTCCTTCATCTTTCAATGTAGTCTTCATGCTTGCTTTCTATACCTCTTCTTTCAATTTCTTTCTTCTTCTATACTACTATTGTTTTGTTTTATTGGACTTCTCCTGGGTCATTAACAAACTGTTATATAAGGCTGGTATAAATTCAGTCTGCTCACTGTCAGCACTACGTTCGTGGTCATTCTTAGATTAAACCAAGAGCTTTTTCTGCTTTCTGAGCCTGTGCTGAAGTTTTTCATACCTGCTAAGAATATTTGCACAGTTCAGAGTACCCCGTGTATTCATTCTTGCAATCTGTGACTTCCATACGTAAACAGTTGGTTTTGCCTTTGCAAGACTAACTGGATCCTTATAAGGCTAGCATTGCCTCATACGGTATTTCTGGAGACAGTGCATGCAAGGGAGCTGTGAGGCTCACGTTGCCTTACACGATACTTCAGGCCCGTGCCCACAAAGGAATCTCGGGCGGTATTGCCGTGTACAGGATTCCTGGGCCCAATGCACACCAGGGACAGAGCTGGCACAAAGTGGGAGCAGAGGTGGGGTGTAATGTTTGGTTAACAAGCCCATATAGTGCTTCTGCGGCTCAGTGATAAAAAGGACAGTCCAGCCAAGGAATTTGCATTCCCCAAGGCCGTTGGCTGGTCTGGGTTACTTCTCTGGAGAAGAGGTCGTGCCCTGCTGCCTGCCTGACAGCCATGGTCATGTAAGTCTTTGCATGCCCGGATGTTAGGTCTAGTCCAGTCTTGGTGAATTACTTGACTTGCTGTTGTTACGACCCAGGTAATTGTACTACTGATCTGTATTTTTTCATGTACTGTTATTTAGAGATAAACTGTTTTATCCCTGAAGCTGTTGGGTCTGGTGTCTCTTACCATATCCTGAACCTATAACTTGGCAGAGCTGCCTTAAGCCCTCTGGTGTCAGAAGTGGGATATGGTACACTGCATCATGACTAGCCCTGACCTTGTAGTGGGTGCCTTAGTCGATTATTTTGGGACCTTGCCCTGCCCGTGAACGTCAGATTCTACTTTGATTAGAGAAAGTCAGAAAGACAGAAACACAAAGGGAGAGTTCCCCTGCTTATATCTGTTATCTCATTGCTGTAGAGATACCGAGTAGCGTTTGAAAGCAGCCCAGGCCCAAGCTGGCTACCTGCGAAAAGAACTGGCCCACACCCAGCAGGACACTGGGGCTGCAGTAGAGGAGAAGACCCTAGCTCCTGCCTGTGTTAAAAGCTGTCCGGCTAAGGTGGAGAAACTAGAGCAACACATGGTCCTCCATGTAGCAGTATCTGTCAGGGAAAAACTTGCCCATCATCTGGAAGCTGTGGAAAAGGGAGTTCCTTTATATGGAGACCTGGAAGACAGGGATGATACTTAATCTGATTCAGATTCAGACAGTGCTGTGTCAAATCCCTCCCTTCCTGAAGACTTAGTAATCCGACCAGTTGTTAAAACAGAGTATGATGCTACTGGAAGTATGACAGGTGCCTGTACATGCTCTTTCATGAGCACAGACCTAGCCAAACTAGGCGAGTGCTACCACAAATCTGTTACTGTGGATTATTTAACCTGTCTTGCAAATATGTTACGTGACTGGGGGGGACACCATCTGAATTTCAGACTGGAAAGCCTGGAGATTGACTTTGGGGTCTAGGATCCAACTACAGCTTCCCACAAGAAGTGTAGATACTGTCTTCCAGGCAGCACTAGCGTATATTCAGAGAAGTACACTGAGATGACTGAAGGCCCCTGGCTATTCCCTGGGCCAAGCCCACAGATTGGGAATTGAGCATCGCTAGGCTGGTTATCAATCACACTTCAGAAGTAGCCCTTGTGGCAGAGGAAGACCTATATGGGCATTGTCCCACGTGTCCCACTGACGCCCACTAATCAAAATGGGTCCTGTTCCACTCAGAGCCCATTTAAAGTCAATAGGCACTGGTCTTACAGGCACAGCACCCAGCCCCATGGGGACCCAGCTGTTACAAAAGGTAGTTTCTGCCATGCCCATTCTTATCCCTCATGTGCAGGTAGTTAAAAATGCCCCTACGGGTCTGCAAAGAAGAGGAGTGCACAGGAGCTAATTATGTATTGAGATGCTTTAAAGTATACTTGAAACTACTTTCCTCTTCTTGCAGGATTTGCAAACGTTTTCATGGCAATCAGACTTCATACAGTTGGTTTCATTTTAGCAAGTATTGTAAAACAAGGTTCACATGATGTTGCTCGTTTCACATGTCTTTGATTTTAATGCTGACAAAACGAGGGTAAATCCATGCTGACGGTGTGGACAGTTAATGTGATCTTTTTGGTTCTAATAAGCTGAAAATCCATTGTTCAGTTTTACTCTGTCTTGCTTTCCTGTTTGTATTTTCTGCTTTCTCTCCTTTTCCTGTGAAGTTGCACATAACTTCATGCATATGCATTCAGGATTGCTGTTAGCATCTGAACTCAGGAAAGACCGTATCAGAGATGAGTAGTGTCTAGAGAACAGATCTAGGGGACTCTTCTTGAAGCTACTGAAGAATTGAAAGTTGATCTGTAAGGAGATAATTACACTGGTTTTTAGATGATGATGATTTAAAAAAAAAAGCAGCTTACCTCTGATCTCTGTAATTGTACGCTCAGTGCCACAGTGTATCAGCGCTTCCTAGTGACTTCTGAGACCACTTCAGAGTCAACCAGTAGTTGCTGCTGCTCGTCCTGTGGACTTCTGTCATTCAGCAACAGTAACAGATGGTCTGTAAAACTGAAGGTAAATGCTTTTTCCATAAACAGCAATACTGCGAGTGGTCTATGCCGCAGTCTGGCAGGGAGCGTCATATCGTATATTTTATATCTAAAGCAGATTTAAGTGTTTTCATAATTGAACTAAATTACTAGAAGAAGTTACTCTGAATGAATGAACACTGAACAATGTGTTGCATAGCAATCTTGTTTTGCTGTGCAAAGTCATTTGCAGAAATATTTTATTTCTAAATAAAAATACATGTGGTGTCATCCCTTCTTCAATGTGCTGACATTCCCTTTTTAATCTGAAATGAACAACTGTTTCTTGGTAATACCGTAGTAATACACATTTCTGAACTGTAACTTTCAATAAATCAGCATAAATTATTTTTGAGTGAGTCTGGCTGAATGTCTACAGTAAAATATTCCACTCTTGAAACTCAGAGGAAAGTGACCTTGTTTTCTCAGGTAAATTCCTTCTATTTTCTGCATTGTCATCCATACAAATTTTGCTAGGTTTCATCCAGTGGAAATAATGGTGTCTTTATGGCCAGACATTACTTCAGTTGAATCCATGCAAAGTGTCTCTACAGTTACTTCACTGTGCAGCAATGAATTTTCGGATAGTTCTTTCTGCAGAATCATCTGCTTTGGTTTCATGTTATGTCTGTAAAACCACCACATTGAATGTTTTGGAAGAGCGCTCTTTTGAGCCATCAAGCACATTCCCGTTTCCTGACCCTGCGTATTGACGTTTTTTGTTTTCACTCTGCTCTTTGTATCACCCTGGTCTCCAGAGAGTTATCTTGGTAGCCATGTGTGTGATGATACCAGCAGTATTATCAGTCTGTGGAAGAACTCCAGCACTGCAGCTCTGTACCAGGATTCTGCCTGATAATGACTGAATGTGATTAGACCTGAAGTGAAAACAAAGCATCATGAAGGGCAAGGAGGTGAATCTGAAAAATACCAGGGCAGCAACAGCATGCAGTTCAGAGAATGCTTGTATCTGTGATGACAAATGGGACAAATGGCTCATCACCATCTTCTGTGCAACAGTAAAAATCCCAGCTTAGAGGCTGTCAGCCAGGAATTGGTTTACTCTGCTTTAGAGTAAGTGAAGTTCTTGCAAGCTAGACAGTTGTCCATAAACACTAGAGTGAGGAGGAAGGGAACAGAAATAGGGTTGTGGATGACAGCCACAGGTTTGCAAAGTTTGTTCGTACATGAGCAAAGCTTATCTGAGCAGTATTGATTCAGGACATAAGCAAAGCTTATCTGAGCAGTACTGATTGAGGAACCAGTCATGTTCCTCAAGACAGTAGGTAAGAGCATTGCCAGTGGCTCATGTGAGAAAAGGCTGAAGTGTGCTGCCTCCTCAGGAATATATGTCTGAAAATAAGGTAAAGGTGGCAAGCTGTTTTGCCACAGACAGAATTTAGTTCAT